CAACTCTACGATTCTATAATTTATACAGATATTTGATATTTGCCTTGGCTGAAGTTTATGTAAAATTCTTAGAAAGCCATATTTTCATATACACAAAAATGAATTGAAATGTGTGTACATATTCGTATTTATTTAGCTACATTTTTCTCAGTATGGTTTCTTTTGTTGAAATGTTGCAATAAAAATCAAATATATAAAATCAATATACTGGTATATCGATTTAGAGAATTAGTGCTATGGAGCACTGAGTCAAATTTAGCTAGTTTGAAGGTATATTGAGATCCTTTCTGGGTTCTGTAGCTGCTACAGAGTGCTGAAACAGGCACATTTCATCCCAAAACCAATGAAAGCAAGATGAGGCAAGATACCTTCTCAGCTCAAGTTGAGACCTAAAGTAGCTCGGATAGCAGATGGACACTACCCAGATCAAGTCTCCCACAATTTAGTGGGGTGGGGGAAGCCTAAATAGTAGTATATCTTGACATTCTTTAATTGAAAAGATGTTACTAGCCAAGTACAAATCAGAAGGATTTGCTCTATAACAACTGTTTTTGTTTGATCATAAACTATAGAAAAGAAACCCAACAAAACCTTCAACAAAATTTTCCCGCATGGGTGGGTTCTCCTTTCACACTTTGAGTCAGCCAGCCAGTCACTCACGCCCTCTTTGATGATACTCCATTCCACTTTTCCTCCTCCAACAGTTTCTCAGCATTTCATGACTATGCATTATGCATTATACCCTGTCTTTATTGAGCAGTTTAGGACAGCAGAGGGCTTCCCCTGCGCCAAAGCGTCTCCAAACCTTTCTCGAAGCTTTTGTTTTCCACTTTATGGAAACTATCTGTGGTGCTCAATGGTGGTGACCATATTTGGAGATGCCAGTTCTGCACTACGCACCGCTCCTATAAAGCTGAAAAGAAAGGCTGCAATGACTGACATCGCACCGACATCGGAGTTGCATCAAAACTGGGAAACAACAAAATGATCGGTTGTGGGGAGAAAGGGATTGGGGCCAGAAAAGCAGGTGTGTCTCCCTGGAAAACCTTGGAGGGCAGGATTAGGTCCCCAGGTTTTCACCCTGCTCTAAATGGCAAACCCAATGCAAAACAGTGAGAAAACAGAAGATACGTGTTTGATGGATGGAGAGATAAATGCAAGGAATAGATGGAAGGCAGTAAAACAGAGGCCAACTCATGACAAAAGTTATAGGGTGGAAGAAGACATTCAAACAGGAATGCAAGCCACCGAAGGGAGAACGAGAGCTGAACTTGCATACCTAAAAGTGTGGTGAGCAAGGACAGCAGACATCCTGGCCAGCACTATAGGAAAAATATGACCTTCCCTGGTGATGGGTTTACCTGTACAGGTGCGAAAACACTAGCAATGTGCCAGGTGTAAGGTACCCCTGGGGAGGATGTGATATTCTGCACTGCAGGGTTTGGCTATGGGACAACGGATGGTTGGTCCCTCCTGACAGCAGAAAGGATACAGCACACACATCTCTTTCCAAATCATACTTCTTTAGGTATTTTGGGTAAGCTTCTCCTTTAGGGCAAGTAAACTGAAATAAATCCAGAATGTACAGCCCAGGAAACTTTTGCTGTGGACACAATTATAGATCTATTCTGCTATGTTTCAGCAGAGCCCCAAATAAAAGAATGCAAACCTCTCTCTCCTACAAGGCCTACGCATAAACCAAACATTTCCCTTTTCCTTTCAGATGTGGTCTGTTCCTTTTGCAACTGATGCTACCATGGACTGATGCTGCTTTCAGGCTAATGCTATCTGGATGCTTCATTGCAAGGTTTTGCTGAGCCTCTGCATCACCCCATCAAACTTCTAAAGGCCCAAGTTTCATTTTGGAGAAGCTGTTCTAGGTTTTGGTGGTGGGTACAGCCAGAGGTGAAAGGGGTGGAGGGGAAAATACCCACATCCCCAGCCTATTCTAGCCCGAAGCTTCAACTTCCAGGAACTAAGCATTTCAGCTTTTTAGAAAGGGGAGGGAAACTGCAAGAAAGCTGGGGAAGAGAGGTATTACTACCACTTGATACGACTCTGGTGTGCCCACAACTGGAGTATTGTACTCAGTTTTGGGCCGCTCATTACAGAAAGGATATAGCCAGGTTAGAGTCAGTGCAGCGTAGGGCCACAAGGTTGCTGGCCGGTTTGCAGGGAAAGTCATTTGAGGCGAGACTGAGGGAACTGGGTCTCTTCAGCCTGGAGAAGAGGAGACTCAGAGGGGATCTGTTGGCGACATACAGGTATGTGGGGGGTGTCACATGGAGGTGGGTAGAGACCTGTTCTGCCCTGCAGAGGAAGGCAGGATGCTCTCCAACAGAGCAAAGCTCAGGGAGCCAAGGTTCCATTTGGATGCCAGGAAGTATTTCCTGACAGTTGGGACCCCGAGGGTGTGGAATGGGCTTCCACGGAGGTTGGCTGAGTCCCCATCGGTGAGGGTGTTCAAGGGTAGGCTGGACATGCACATGGTGGGCATGTCGTGAGCGGAGCCGGCTGGTGCCGGAGGTCAGACTAGATGGCCCAGGAGACCCCTTCTGTCTCGCTCTGTTTCTATGTTTCTGTGAATTGCCACAAGGTTGGTGGGGAAAGGGACCATGAAGCGTGGTCATTTGGGGAGCTCCATGCTGTCACACTGCGACCTCAGGAGGGCCAGAATGGTCTTCCTCTTCCTCTAGAGAAAAACTAATTTTTCTCTAGACAGTATATCCCTGTGCACGCTCCAGCTTCTTAGAAAGGGCATCAAAAGTCCCCCGTATTCTTTCAGTAGACAAAGGCTGCCCTGGCACATCCCCTTCTGAAGCCAATATTAACCCTCCAGTTTTCATCCACTGTGACTGGAGAGGCCTAACCTAATATTTGTGCCCCTGAGGTCAAGACTTCAGTAATCACAAGTTACTCTCTCAGCTAACCTTCTCTTTATCTTTAGGCAGGCACAGAGAAAGAGAGTTCGGGTCAATCATTTACTTGGCAGTAACTCATTTATGCAGCTGCAACATCAGAGGGGCTTCTTTCTCCAGCTCAGCTCGGGCTGGTTTGTGGAAAGCAGTCCTCTGGACTTTTAAATGACCAGCTTTAAACAGATCATCCTTTGGAGGAGCTCAAAAGGGATCTGAGCATGGTCCTGCCGTTTATTCTCACAACAACCCTGTGGAGTAGGCTAGGTTGACAGAGACTAGTGCATGGTTATTCAGTACTCTTTCTAGCCAAGAGTAGATCTGAACCCAAATTTCCGTTCAGTATTTTAACCAGCACTTTTGTTTTACCCTGTTCAAGGCCTCTGTTGAGAGAGGGGGGAGGCGGGCCATGTGGTGTAGTGGTTAAGAGCATGGGACTGGGACTCGGGCGACCTGGGTTTGAGTCCCCGCTCAGCCATGGAGCCAAGTGGGTGACTTTGGGCCAGTCACAGACTCTCAGCCCAGCCTACCTCACAGGGTTGTTGTGGGGATAAGATGGAGGAGGAGAATGATGGAAGCCTCTTTGAGCTCTTTAAAAAATGGCGGGGAAAGGCAGCATATACAATAAGATTTCAGAGTTCCTGAAAAGTCAAAGGGAGAAACGAGCCGATCAGATTTACAAGTCATAGCCCGTGATTTGTCAGACAATTGGCAATCCCCTGAGCAGTCTTTGGGCAGAAACAAGGAGGGGGAATGGCCGTATCCCCTTTCTGCCCTTCACTGCCTACTTCTTCCAGCTGGACTGGTTCTTAGGATTTGCAAGGAAAGGGCCCCCATAAGCTAAGGGAGGAGAAATGTCTCTTTTTGATGCCGAGGTCAACATTCCCTTGGGGTGGTGTCTCAAGGCCCACGTGCCACGCCGAGTGCTGCCAAAGACACCCATGGGGGGCAGCACCACCCCCTTCTTTCTGACACCCCTCCCCTCTTGGGGGGGGGCATATCTCTCTTGTTGTAGGTCTGAATTGGCAGCTTGCCGAGGGCTACTAAAAATAGCCTGAGGTCAACGTTCGCGGGTCTCTGTGCCTTTTTTCCAACAAGGACTGTCCTGTGCTTGCAAAATGAGAAGCAAATTACAGATGTTGAGACTGAACAAAAACCAACCGGGTGGAGTGGCATGTAAAGCAAATATCCTCCAGATTTGAAATTGCCCCTCATTTGCAGTGATGGGAAGGATGCAACGAGAAGAAAATTGAACGCATTTGATGTTTGTCACCTCCCATGTCATCACCAAGACTAACATTGCTTCAGAATTAAACATCTCACATCAAAGGTAAAAACTTGGAAGGGCAAAACTTCACAGTTCAAAAACGTGATTGTACTTTCCCAAGGTTTGCTGAAGTTCCTAAATAATAATAATAGTAGTAGTAGTAGTAATAACAATACATTTTTACACCATCTTCCTTACAAGAGGTTCTTCCTTACAAGAACTCAAGGTAGCTCGCAAGGTTTTCTTCCTCTCTATGTTACCCTCACAACAACCCTGTGAGGTAGGTTGGTCTGAGAGTCTGTGACTGGCCCAAAGCCACCTGGTGAGCTCCGTAGCTGAGCGGGGACCGGAATCCAGATCCCCTGGACGCCAGTCCAACAAACTCCCCATCACTGGCTCTGTGTACCTGAACAGCAAGAGATCTTACTCTCACCTGTATTCTGAACACATACAGTGCAGATTTTTCCCACTCCCCTGGGAATCCCAGCATTCCCAAATGACTGAGGCAAGCAATTCCAGACAGCTGGGAGCCCTTTAGTTTTAACCTTTACAGACTAGCACACAGCATACCTGCTGCACACCTGCTCACGCAGAATTCATGCCTCTGAACAGCTCCACGCAAGCAACTCAGAGCTTCCCACAAATCTTTCTTGGCCTCGCTACCCTTAGAAGCAGAAAGGCCAACTTTTCAACAAATACTGCTTTTCTCAAGCACTTAGGAGTATTTCTATCTAGATCACTCCGGCCCTCTTTCAGGCACCGATGTGGTCAAGCAGGAGAACACTACGACTTGCCGTATGCAAAAACTGGGTACAAACCTTTATTCGTGACTTCCCAAGCCACTTCAAACAGTAATAAATCCTCCACCGGGAGCTCTTCGTCTTCCCACTGGGGGAGCCCATTGAGAGAGGTGACGGAGAGAGAGCGGACAAGAGGCATTGGCAATTCTGCGTTTTCTCTGCACAATGCAGTCCTTAAAACCTTTCTAGAGGGTTTTTTTCAGTTGTTGCTTCAAGGCTTTGCTTCTTCTTACTGCAGGCTGGTTGATCTCCTTGTTTGTAGCAGAGAAAGAGAGAGAAAGGCAGCAGTCTTCAGCTTGCCAAAGCGAAAAATGTGAAGAAGAAGCAAAATTTGCCAGAAACAGCGCAGGGGTGTTAAAAATCCACTTTTAATTGCCTTCAAACCCAGTCTTCCAATGAGCACAATCCCACAGGAGTACTTGTAGAGGTTGCTGTTCTTCTGCTGGTGGAGGGGACAGCGGAGCAAGCGGCTTGGGATCAGTTAAAAATCACCGCCGGACTGGTCTCTCACAGCCCTTGAGACCCCCCTGCCTCAGGGATGAGTGAAACGGCTTTCAGTGGCCTGAACTGAATCCCCCATGAGGCGGATCCTGCCTTAATGCCACTTGGCTTATGCCCTGCCCATGGGCGTTGTTTAACTCTCCTATAACCCCGACTCACTGTGTTCACACAACCCAACGAGCCCCCGAGCAATTGGAAATGTGCCGCAATGCCTGCAGGCACTGCAGCTTGCTGTGGGCTGAATAACCCGCAAGGACCTGCACCGTGTCCCCGAGCCGAGAGAGAGTCATCCAGTTCTCTCTGCCTCCTTGTTTGATAAACTCCCACCGTCTCCAGCTCAGTCATCTTTCCCTCCGCCTGCCTCTAAGCTAAAAGGCTCCAAGGCATTTAGCTGCTCTTTTTAATCTTTGATCCCTTAATTAATTGCAGGCCAGGCTAACATCTGTTGGGCAATTAATCTGCGGTGGCTGCACAATCAGCCCCTGGATAGGGTGGCCGCATGCCCTCCTTTACGCCGGACAGTCCTTGCTGTTGAAGGGCTGCCTGAGCACAACTTTCTCCCTGCTTTGCTGCCTGGTCCAAATCTGCTTGAGATCACGAAGCAGAAGGAGGGACAGCCAGCCAGGGCCCCGAAGTTGCCCAACTGTGGTTGCCCAACCAGTGGCCTGAAACTTGCCAGTCCATATCAGCAAAGGGACAGCACAGAAAGCAAACCCACGGCCCTCTCAGTCACAGTCTTTCCCTCCTAAGGTGAGCTGCAGCATATTTCTATTTAAAGAGCAACACTTCTTTCTAAAGTTGCATATCTCTATATAAATCAGAGATATAGACATCCATGTCCCCTCTCTTTTTGAGGTGCGTAAGTGGCCACCTACTCAGCAGAAGGAGGCAGGTGGCTCTGTGTGTACCTATGAAAAATCAGGCCTCATCTGAGCCCACGTGTATCCATGGCTTGCTTGAGCTTCATTTTGTGTACGCATCTGTCCAATTCCATGTAAGATACCCGCACGTCTGTCTGTCTGTCTGTCTGTCTGTCTGTCTGTCTTTTTCTTTCTTTCTTTCTTTCTTTCTTTCTTTCTTTCTTTCTTTCTTT